TAAAATATATGACAACTCCCGTCAAATTTATACTTTTATATTATATGTGCTCACATCTACGTGAGTTAACGAACTTCAGTTGAATCCAAATGAATTAATTTTAAAAATTTATTAAACATATTTTATATATTAATCCATTTTTTCAAATTAAAAATGTATGACATCTCCCGTCAAATTTCAATTTTAAAACTTTTATATTATATCATATTTACATATTTTTTTACAACCTATAATGTATAACAGTTTCCCGTTAAATTACAATTATTTTTAAAAAGAACATAAAAATAAATAAAATTTATAGATAAAACTATTATATATTATTTTCTATATTTATTTAATGAATGAAATTTATTTTAGATGAATTTATTATCTAATTTGTATTTAAAAATATAATTTAATTGTCATTTAAAACAGTACATTCAATTCTTTAACTTCAATTATCTGGTATGTCATAGATACATTTATTCTACCCATGAATTTATTTCATGTACTCAGTTGGTTAATATTAATATAATTACAATATATAATCATTTATCAAATTTGAATTTCTCATTTATAAAAATAATTTTAAATTATTCTCGTTTATAAAAATGAACGCGTGTGTCTATTTATAAAAATATATGAAACTTATACTCTTTTATAAATATAATTGTATCAATAATTGAATTTTTCCGGTTTATAAAAATATTTATAATTTATTCATGTTTATAAAAATTATTATAATTTATTTTTAGTTTGTAAAATTAATTATATTAATATGTAGACTTTTTCTCGTTTATAAGTGTCTTTAACCCGTGTGACAATTTATAAAAACATTTTAACTTATTCATATTAAAAACAATTACATCAATATTTGAATTTTGTTCGTTTATAAAAATATTTGTAAGTTATTTAAGTTTATAAAAATAATTGTAAAAATAAATATTTATCATATCATCTTAAATTTATTTATTCAACAGTGATAAATATGTGTCTCTTAGTTAATTACATTTATAAATAAATATCGTGTATTAGTGATATATATTAAATTTATTATCTTAATGTCTAACTAATTAAAATGAATTTATTATTGTCAATCAAAAATTATAATATTAAATAATAATATAATATTATTATTATATACGGGAAAAAGAATAAATTAAATCTAAGAATATCGGAAAATTTATTATAATATTAAATAATAATTTAACATTTATTATTACAATGAATCATATATAACATTTCAAAATTATGTATTTATTTCTTATGTTTTATTATATTCGATTTGTAATAAATATTTTTCAGTTTATTGCAAATTTTCAATAATTAAATATTAATGATATTATATAAAATTAATTTCATGAAATAAGTTTATTTAATAAAGTGTTATATAAATATTTAATACATTATATTATACCATTAATTTATATAAAATGATATTAACTTATTCCTGTTTATAAAATTATTGTAACTTTTTTCCGGTTTATAAGCATGTTGAATTCGTGTGTCCATTATTAAAATATATGTAATTTACTATTATTGATATAAATAATTTTATAAATAGTTTAATTTATTACATTTATAAAATTATTTGTAATTTATTCACCTTTATAAAATTAATTATAAATTATTTAATTTATTAAAATGATTGTATCAATAATTTTTTATTTTATCATAAATTTTTATGATTATCATTTATCATTAAATTTTCATGATTACCATTTAATATTTTTTTATCATGATTACAATTATAAAGTTAATTTGAAAAGATTATGATATATTTTAGTTATTTCATAAACTTAAAAAAATTATCAAATCTCAATTGATTTTGTTTTGTTTTATTAACCTTTTTATAGAAATTGAAATAATTTATTTTAGGTCAAATAAGGATCTAAATAATTACAAAATAATATTTATTCTTACATTTATAGAATGATAAATTAAATATTTAAGATAAACATTAGAGTTCTTATTTACTTTATCTTTTATATATTTATAATATACTTTTTTTTGTTAATTTTATTAACAATATATTTATAGTTAACAATACACCCTTTAAACTACGTTATTTTTTTCAAGAATATAAATGTAACCTTTCAAAAAATATACACAAATATATTTAGAAGTCGGTAGAAAATTTTATTGGTTAAATTATAATTCCATTCAAAATTTATTGATCATAAATTTTTGAAATCAAATCATGCATAAAAATAAAATGTATTAATGTGACTATTCAAAATATTTTCTATATATAATAAAAATAAATAATATTAATACCTCCATTCAAAAGATATATTTGTAAAGTTTTGATTTAATTTTTTTCATATCTTTATATATTCTAATGTATATAATATTCCTACAATATGAAACAGTATCAAACCTATAATATTAAAAGAGAATTCAAATTTTATTGATCATAATATTTTATGGAATCAAATCATATATAAAAATTAAATATATTTATGTCACCATTCAAAATAATTTCCATATAAGTATAATAAAAATAAATGATAATAATGTCTCCATTCAAAAGATATATTGGTAAAGTATCGAATTAAATGGTACTCCAATATTTGAAATATTGTATAAAAATATATTAATTAGTCGTACTTTATTAAAAAAATAAATCGTAAATATTTTATTAAAAATTGTAATATTTGTTTCTAAAATTATAGCAATTAAAAATAAAAAAATATCAATACAAAATAAAAATTTTATTCAAATTTCACGACAAATGAGAATTATAATTTCGATTCAAAATAAATTAGAATTTTGAAGGCACATCAACACCAACTTGTAGGAGAAGAGAAATTCGGCAATGCTACATTCAAAAGATAAATAAATTTCATTAAAACGCCAACATAATTTGCAGTAGAAAAATATATTATGCCAAAACCAATGTTGATATGACATACAAAATCTGAAAGCAATAATATCAAATCTTGTTAAAAACATTCTTCTATAGAACCAGAAAATGATCGCATATCAACGTTGGTTTTATTATCTTATACATCTTAGATAATTATTGCCTTGCTTATGGTTCTTTTGAAATTGGTAGTGAACTTCAGCAACACCCGCTACTCTTGAACCCTTAAAAACACTCTTGAACCCTTAAAAACATATTACTTACCGCTACTCTTGAACCCTTAAAGAACTAACACTCTTAAAGCCTTAAAAATTAAAAACATATTACTTTAGAACTAACACTCTTGAACCCTTAAAAACATATTACTTTAGAACTTCGGGTGAATAAGAGTCTCATCCCTTTGACTATCCTCGTGTTCATCAAACCTTTTGAAAATAATGGAGAATGAAGAATATCCTCGTGTTCATCAAACCTTTTGAAAATAATGGAGAATGAAGAAGATTGAGGAGTGAAAGAGTAAGGATTTAGAATGGCTATATATATGGTTTAGAATGCATGGGAAGTTGTGATATCTTGGAATATCAAAATAATCCATTCTAATTCCAATAATATACATTTAATCTTGTAGTGTAATGATAAATAGTGGGTATTTTTAAATCATGCAATGAATAATATTTCATTTAATTATAATAGATCTAATTTGGCCATTCCAATTCCTTCCTCATTAACCGTGAGTCAAACATTAGAATTCAAATTTTGTCCAAAAAAAAACATTGGAATTCAAATATAAATAAAATTCAAATATAAATAAAATAAATTAATAAATCAAATAAATGAAAAATAGTGTAAAATTATGATAGATTGACATGTCAGCAAAATTAAATGCCAAATGAATATGGTAACAGCATAGTGTTGATTAGTCTATTATATCCTTAGAATAAGAAAAATTATAACATCTAATCAAAAGGTTAGACTTGGAATTTCCAAGTACTTTACTTTTAATAGATTGATAATAGATTTAAAATTTATATCTACACTAATAAGTAATTTTTTTTTCTTGTTTTGTATATAAGTTGTAAAAATATATAATAGAGTAATTCAAAAATCTATTGGATAATCGTAAGTAAAGTTGTTCAACATATTATAATATGTTTTTTAGTAGTTCACACCCAAAAAAGTCAACTTCACCCTGCAAAGTTGCAAACCTTCCCCTATTATGCTTCAAATATAACCTCGGAACAGTAACATATGAACCGTACAGTACTTTAATTGTTTATGAATACTGCCAAAGCATTTTCAATAAAGATAATCTAAACAAACTGAGTCTTGATGGGTGTATGGACTCTAGCAGATATTTTTCATATCCTACCTTTTTTTTTTTGGAAAGAAATAATAAACTAACACTCAATTCATTAATGTATATTAATATATTACAGTTTCAAAAAACATTGTTATTGGTAAAGAGGTTCTATCCATTTAATAGGATAAGAGAACAAAATGAAAAAATCTCGTCCATTTATTTGACGGATGTGTAACTTTTTTTTTTAATTTTGTTTAGGATTTGTTGATTTTCTCAGGAATTTTATTTTCGTATATACGATTTTATTAAATTCCGTTAGTAAATTCGTCAGAAATTTAGGAAAGAAATTATGTAACAAAATCTGAAAAAAAAAACCAATTTATATATAAAATAGATGGTATTTTGGTATTTAAAGAATGGTAATTTATCTTTAAATTGAAAAAAAAAAAAGGTATATTTGTGAAAATTTCGCTCTAGCATGCTAACTTTCTATTTTAAGACACAAACGCGTTAATTAAAATAAAACCATACAAAGCAATTAACTTGAAACAAAATAGAGAGTAATTTCAAAGTAGGTTCCAAAAGCTTCATATTTGCTTTAAAGGTAGAAGTATTTGTATATAAGAGAGACTTTAGAATTAGCTGAAAATGATGGCAATTGAATTACATCTCACAAACTTCTCAAAATACATTTGCTTTTGTCAAACTAGTTTCCTAATCTATAGCATATAGTTCTATTCTATCTACTACTCGTTTGGAACCACAATTGTAAGAAAAAACTAAAAACATGAAAACCAAGTAACATGTTAATGAGTTTTTACATGTCATTTTACTTCTATACCCAACAATTCAAGCTCAACAATGGTAGGTAAGTAATCTTCTCTTCTTGTAGCAATTTTTGAAACAAACCTGCCTCAGTTTCTTGGTTTCTTCATTCAATTCCATACCCGGAATTTTTTCCAACAATTTTTTCTGCTTCTCCAACTTAGCAACCTCGTCGTCCAATCCCATTTCCTATATCACACAAAGAACAACAAAAAAAAAAACCTTACAAACATTGAACATTTGATTAAGTAATTGAAACATAAGGAAATGAATATACTACCTTAAGGTTGTCCATGAGTAACATCAAGCTCTTCAACTTTCTGTGAGGCCACCTTGTGATATTGAGCTCTCTGCACCTCTTCTTTAATAGGGTCACACCAATGTTCAATCTCTTAGCAGCTAGTGTTATAGGAACATCAAAATGCTTCTTAATCTCATCATATTGCAAAGAAAACTTCTTGTTCCTACTCAAACTAGTACTACCACTTGACAATGGCAATCGACTCTCTTCTTGATACTCATATTCCTCCTCTTTCTTCACAAACCTCGAAAACGCATTTCCGGTTTTCACGGAAGATTCAGCAAAACTACACTCGCCAATACTCTCATCTTTCTCACTGCATTGTTCCAATACAGGAAAGACAACATTGAGGGGGTTTTGGTTGTTAACCTCAAAATTTTCATGAAAGAGTGGGAGGTTGAAATGGAAGTTGAAAATTTCAAGATCCTTGAACTCATTGACGTAAAGGTGATTGCTTTGGCATGATACCTCAGTTTCCCAATCAAACTCAGGGAAACCCTCAAATCGCGAAAAATCAGTGATTCTGTACATATTACAATCACACAAACAAAAAACAACACTAAAAAAACGGGTAACGGTTACTACAAACAAGAAAACAAAGTTCAACCTCGAAAGTCGCGTACAACACTGTTCCATTGAAAGAAAAAAAAACTGAATCATAACACTAGTTCAAGGGTTATGTTTCTTGAATTTACGTTTTGTAAGAAACAGAGAAACAAAATCAATAACATGATACAGAAATGTTGCCGAACAAAAACAGAAAAACAAGGAACATTGAAAGTAGTGACGATCATGGTTGAAATGAAATTGGTTACGATGCTTACTTGTCTGTGTCGTCTTGCAATGGTTGAGTATTGCAATACCAGTTGGAAGCTAGAGCAATTTCATGTTCGCCGTACAACTCCATAGCAACAGAGAGATATGAGTGGTTACTAGTGAGAACAGAAGGGTATTTATAGTATGTTTGTGTTGTGATGAAAAGGAAAGAGGGGGTTACGAATTTACATAGGAAAGTGGTGAGTTAAATTTTGGCATTGAATTTTGGAGTCATTCAATTACAATTATAGAAGGGGATGAATGATTATGATAATCATATGGAAATGCATTTGAATTTGCATTTATGCGTAATTATACATTCATTAGCGTCCACTCCGAGGGAGTGTTAGTCTTAAATTTTCATACATTCACGCTTAACTATGTGCATGCCGTCACATTTTTTTATCTCACACAAGTTAAACATCGAAACCCAGCAAATGATATATGCATCGGTTCAATTTTGTGTTATTTGCTTTTTAAGACTATGATTAGAGTATTAATTTAAATAATATAAATATTGTTTTTATTAAAATGTAGTTATTAATACAGTAATAATTAGTAGAGTAATTATGTGAGTTGAAATATACTACTACTAGTCTACTACAATGTTAAGTGTTAATCCATAATCATTTGTGTCATAGGTTGTAATGTGATTGTGTTTTGTGACTATAATAACTAACTTAGTTATTTGGGTTAGTTATATATGGCCCTTTTTGAAGTATCATTATTAGGTGGGAGAAAACATTTCATTACTTGATGAACGAACAAGAGTATTGTGGTTGGATGCCATCAAATTTAAAAGTGAATTTTTGAAGTATTGTTGACATTTAAAACTTTTTGAGAAGGAGTGGTAAATTACTAAAGGTTTTGAGGAATGATAGTGGCGGAGAGCATACATCAAATGAATTTGATTTATTTCGCATCAGTGAAGACATAAGACATAAAACCACCTCATTCAGTAGTCCTTAATATCATGGTCTAGTAAAAAGAAGAAACATAATCATATTTGACATGTTCAAAAATATGCAAAGACACAAGAGCATGCCTTGTATGTTTTGGGGAGAAGTCGTCAACACAACCACCTATATACTAAACATATCTCCCACCATAAAGCTCAAGATGAAAGTGCCTGAAGAAATTTGGTGTAGACGAAAACCAAGTGTGAAGCACCTCAAAGTATTTAGATCAATACGTTTCAAGCACATACATGATCAAGTAACAAGTAAGATTGATGAAGAATGTGAAAGCATGATATTTATAGGATATTGTTCCACATAATCATATAATATGTACCATTATGTGGATAAAAGGGTGCACATCAATAAAGATATAGTTTTCAATGAATCAGAGACATTTAAGTAATAGGACACACTAGATAAAGGAAGTGATGTAGTCTTATTTTTGTATAGTCGATTTAAATTGAAGGTTTAGATGAACAAATTGATTTTGAATGCACTCAAGTTAAAAATGATGGACCAATAGAGACTCTAACACATGTGAGGCCACGAAGAATAAGGAAATTTCTAGTTGACTTGCAAATTATGAACTATTACTTGACAGTGCAATCAGTAATACATATGAACTTATATATTTTGTTGTGCTACATGATGTCAAGTTAATCGGTCATAATGAGGCAGTAAAGAGTAAGATCTTGAGGGAGGTCGTGATGGAGGAATTCAAGTTAATTAAAAATAATAATACATAGGGAGCTGGTTGATTTACTAGAGAGAAAAAAAACCCATTAATGTGTTGGAAATCCACCAAAGTCTATGATGAATTTCTACCACAATAACAATTTAATTATGAGACAAATAAAGAAAAGAAGACAAAACAAATAATTTCTGCAGAGTTTCTCTCTGATCACAAACTGTGAAAACTTTCTTATTCACTTTGCAACTGCAAAATACTGTGAATGACTTGCTTGACTTGCTTACAAAAATAGGGGTTACTCCCTCTATTTATAACTGAGCTTACACCCTAAGCCCAAAGCCCAAAATATATTTTTGTTACTAAATCAAATCTAATTTATTCTAGACTTAAATCAAATCTATTTAAATCTAAAACAAATCAAATCTTTTCGATACATAGTTTCGACACATTGGATTACAATTTAACACACCACCTAATTCATTGTGTCTAAACTATCTATGTTCATCATGGCTCTCAGCTTTCTGAATACTTCGACTTGCACTCCCTTCGTCATGATGTCTGCAATCTAATTCTCAGTTCTGCAGTGTTCCAAATTCATCTTCCCATCTGCTACCTGCTCTCGAAGATAATGGAACCTCATTTCGATGTGCTTACTTCGACCATGTGCTATTGGATTCTTCTCCAGATTAATAGCTGACATGCTGTCTATTTTCATGGTAATTGCTCCATGATTTTTCCCTGTTATCTCTTCGACCAAGTTCACCATCCAAGTTGCTTGACATGCACAAAGAGAAGCAGCTATGTATTCTGCTTCGCATGATGATAATGCCACTACTGGATCCTTTCTTGAATTCTAAGCAACTGGTGCACCATCTAGCATAAACACATATCTTGCTGTTGACTTTCGATCTTCAGCATCACTACACCAACTCGAATCAGTATATCCCACTAACTTGCATTATTTTCCTTTATCAACTGCAGGAAACAAAATGCCATAATCGAAAGTTCCTTTGAGATACCTTAGTATCCTCTTCATTGCTGCTAGATGTGATACCTTTGGCTTCTGCATGAATTTACTTACCATACCTACACTATATGCTAAGTCAGGCCTTGTATGACAAAGGTATCTCAATGATCCAATAAGTCTTCTGTATTGGGTTGGATCAACATCATCTTCATCTGCATCTTTCGACAGTTGCAGTCTTGGTTCTGCAGGTGTCGAAGTTGAGTTGCATTCTTCCATCTCAAACCTCTTGAGAATTTCTCCTGCATATCTTCTTCGATGCATCATCAAACCTCTACTGCTCTTGTAGAATTCGATACCAAGGAAATATGAAATCTCACCCAAATCAGACATTTCGAATTCCTTGCTGAGATCACCTTTGAAGTCTTCGATCTCACTTTTACAGCTACCTGTTATCAACAAATCATCTACATAGAGATATAGTATAAGCAATTTACTCTTGCTTCTTCTTACATATACTCCATGTTCAGTTGTGCACTTCACAAATTCTTCCTCCCTTAAAAAACTATCAATTTTCTTATTCCAAGCCCTTGGAGCTTGTTTCAATCCATATAGGGTTTTATGTAGCCTGTACACCTTTCCTTCTTCGTCATGTTTCACAAACCCAACTGGTTGTTTAACATAGACTTCTTCATCTAAGGGTCCATTTAGGAATGCACACTTCACGTCCATCTGACATATGTGCCAACTGTTTATTTCTGCTAGACCAACAACCAACCTGATTGTTTCGATCCTAGCAACAGGTGCAAAAACTTCGTCGAAGTCTATTCCTTCTTTCTGTAGAAATCCTTTCGCCACAAGTCTTGCTTTGTGTCGAGTTACTTCACCTTTCGAATTCGTTTTCACTTTGTATACCCACTTGACATCAATTGCCTTCTTGCCTTGAGGCAATTCGACAAGTGACCAAGTGTTATTGTCTTCGATAGACTTTACTTCTTCGTTCATTGCTTTCACCCACTTCGAATCCTTTAATGCTTCAGCTGCATTAACGGGTTCGACATCTGCATAGAAAGTATAATGTACCAGTTCACCTTCATTATCTATTACATCAGCTGATGTAATCACACAATCTTGCAATCTTGCAGGTATGCGTCTTGTTCTTTGAGGCCTGCTTATACTTGGTATATCTGCTGGTTCCTCTTGTCGAACTTCTCTTTCGACTTGAGTTTCTGGCTCTTCAAGAAGGATTCCCACTGAATATTTCTTGATATTTTCAGTCCAATCCCATTCTTTAAACTCATCTATGATCACGTCCCTGCTGATCACAATCTGCTTTTTCACTCGATCGAACAACTTGTAGCCTCCTGTCAAATGATATCCAACTAGAATCATTTGACTTGACTTATCATCAAGTTTTCTTCTCAACAGATATGGCACATGTCTATGTGCAATAGATTCAAATACCTTCAGATGACTCAAGCTAGGCTTCACACCAGACCAACATTCTTCTGGAGTAATTCCTTCTAGCTTCTTTGTAGGACATTTATTCAAAATGTATGTTGCAGTCGAAACAGCTTCACCCTAAAACTCTTTAGGTAAATTCTTTCCTTTCAACATACTTCTCACCATATTCATGATGGTTCGATTCTTCCTTTCCGCAATTCCATTTTGTTGTGGAGTATAGGGTGGCACCACCTCATACACAATCCCTTCCTTTTCACATAATCTATCGAAGTCTTTCGACACATATTCTCCACCACCGTCAGTTCTCAAAACTTTGAGCTTTCGACCACTTTGTCTTTCGACCATAGACTTAAACTTGCTAAATACTTCGATCACTTCACTTTTCTTTTTGATTAGGTAAGTCCATAGCTTTCGACTGAAATCATCTATGAATGTAACAAAGTATTTGTTACCTCCCATCGAATCCACCTGGATTGGTCCACATACATCAGAGTATATGATTTCAAGACTAGCCTTCGATCTGCTTCCTGCATCCTTGTTGAAGCTACTCTTGTGTTGCTTCGCCTGCACACATTCCTCACATACCTCGTTTAGAATGTCAATTTCTGGCAATCCTGAAACCATATTTCTTCTCTTCAAATCTCTGATGTTTCTGAAGTTGAGATGTCCTAGTCTATAATGCCATATCCATTCATCTCTGCTAGCTGCAGTCGAAAGGCACTTGTGCTCCATCACATTTAGTTCAATCTTGAAGGTTCGATTCTGAGACACAGGAGCCTTCAAGATTAATCTCCCATTTGCATCAACGACTCTCATCATCTTATCTTCGATTGACACTTTATAATTCTTTTCGACCAACTGCCCTATACTGAGCAAATTGCTCTTCATGCCTGGTATGTACAACACATTGGAGATTACTGACCTTTTGCCATCTTTCCTCATAATCATAACATAACCAATACCTTCAGCTGCTAGGATATTGTCATTTGCAAATTTTACCATATTTATCATTG